TCATCAGATATTCAGTTAAGAAAAATTGATTTGGCAGCTGCATGGGAGGTGGACTGGAGTGAGAACGGACTTGAATTAGTAAGATTAAGTAGGAGGCTGTTGGGGAGAAGTGAAGGGAGCATGAACTAAGGTGGTAGCTATGTGAGTAGACAGAGGTGGATCGTAGAGATATTGCAGAGATAGAAATGGCAAGATTTAGCAACTGCTTGGCTACATGGACGAGGGAGAATGAGGAGTTAAAGTATAGCGCCAAGGTTATGACCTGGGAAATGGGAAAGCTGCTGGTACCTTTGCCAGAAATAAGAAGGTTTGGAAGAAGGGTGGGCTTAAAGGAAAAGATTCTAAGTTCCATTTCATACATTTCGAGTTTGAGATGGCTGTGACATCCAGTTTATCTATAGTTGGTGATGTGGGACTTAAACTCAGGGGAAAGACTGGGGCTAGATGTATAGCTCTATGAGTCATCTGCATAGAGATGATAATTAAACCCATGGGAGCTGATGAAAATCACTGAGAGAGAATGTCGAAAAGGAAGAGGGCCAGGACAGAGCCTTGGAGAATACCCAGTTTTCAGATGGATGATGAACCAGCAAAGGAAACAGAAAGATCAATCATACAGGTAGGAAGAGAACTGGAGAGAAATCTTACAAAACTCAGAGAGTCAAGAGTACCTAGGAGATGAAGGTGGTCAGCAGGGTCAAATGTCAGCAGAAAGGTCAAGAAGGATGAGGACTGGAAAAGACCATCAGATCTGGCAATTAAGAGAATACTGATAAATTTAGAGAGAGTAGTTTCAGATAAGTGATGAAGTAAAAGAGTTGAGGAATGAGGGAGAGGAAAGGAAATGAGCCTCTAATGAGAGTATAGAGGGATTCTTCTAAGCTTTCGGTAGGAAAAGGGAGGAGAGATACATGATGATAGCTTGAGGAGATAGTGTTGTGTAACACATTTTTTTTTTGTTTTTGTTTTTTGCTTTTAGGCAACTGGGGTTAAGTGACTTGCCCAGGGTCACACAGCTAGTAAGTGTCAGGTGTTTGGTCTGAGGCTGGATTTGAACTCAAGTCCTCCTGACTTCAGGGCCGGTGCTCCATCCACTGCGCCACCTAGCTGCCCCTAACACATTTTTTTTTTTTTAAGAATGAAGGACACTTGGGCATATTTGAAGGCAGTTAGGGAAGGGACTAGTATTAAAATCCAGAATCAAATAAAAAATCCTCTGTTTGGCTTTCAGTAGCCTTCATATCCTAGCCCCCTCCCTCCTCTCTAGTGTTACTCCCTGCTCCATACTCTTTGCTCCAACACTGATCTTTTGGTTCTTTTCAGAACAAGACACTGTGTCTCTCAGCTCTGGATATTTTCTCTGACTGCCCCATCCGTGGAATGCTTTCCTTCTTAATTTCTGCCTACTGGCTTCCCTGTCTAACTTTAAATCCCATCTAAAATCCCATCTTCTACAGGAAGGGTTTTCCTAAACCCTCTTAATTCTAGTGCCTTTCTTCTGAATTATTTCCTATTTATCCTACATATAGCTTGTTTGTACATATTTGTTTGCTCTTCTCTTCCCTTAGTTTATGAGCGTCCTGTCTTTTGCCGATTTTTTGTGTCCGCAATGCTTGGTACAGTTCCTGGCACGTAGTAGGTGCTTAATAAATGTTTGACTGACAGTAGATAGGGAGAGATGTATGATGAATGGGTAACATGCTAGAGAATGTAGGAGGAGATGAGATCATATCCAACACCACAGCCAACCAGTTGTCAAATCCTGTTGTAACTGCTTTTGTTACATCTCTCACACATGCCCCTTCTCTCTATTACTCCAACAACTTTCATGCAGGCCCTTATATACTTTATGCCTGGACTATTATTTTTGATTTTTCTTTTTCTGATTGGTCTCTCTACCTCAAGTCTCCCTACTCTAATCTGTTCCTCCACTGAAGCTGTCAAATTGATCTTCCTAACACTCAGATCTCCCTATTCAATAAATTCCAGTGGCTACCTATCTCCTTCAGGGTCAAATATAAAATCCTCTGTTTGGCTTTTAAAGTCCTTAATAACTTGATCCCTTCCTACATTTCCAATCTTCTTACACCCTACTCCCAGCTATGTACTCTATGATGCAGTGACACACTGGCCTCCTTGGTATTCTAGAGCATGACACTCTGTCTTCCCACTGGTTTCCTTCAATTCTCAGCTAAAGTCTCATCTTCTGCAAGAAGGCTTTCCTAGTGTTCCTTAAGCTTTCCCTCTGAGGGCTACCCCTAATTTATCATGTATATAGCTTGTCTGTACATAGTTGTTTGCATATTGACTTCCTTGTTAGAGCTTCATGAGAGGCTTTTGCTTTTCTTTGTATCCCCAGAATTTAGCACAATGCCTAATACATAGCAGGCACTTAATAAATGCCACTAGACTAACATTAGAGGATTTGGCCTTGGAAAGGAGAAGGCTACCCCATCAGACACTGGGAGAAAAGAGAGAGAGAGATGATGTTAATCAAGTGGTTTTAAGCTTGAAGAGGAGAAAAGAAAGAGTTCATGGTGAAAATTTTCCTAAATTTTCTAATTAAAATAAGATGCGATGTCCTCAGCTGAAAGGGTTGGAGACAAGTGTGGTAGGCTTGAGGAGACAAAATAAAATTTGGAATATCTAATGTGTGGAGTGAAATAGGGAATTCAGGGATAGGGACTGTGACAAGTGAAACTTGGAAATAACTGAGGAAACAGAGGTTTGAGCTTCTGATCATATCACTTTATTAAGCAGTACATACCAGTTGTATAACAGATTGGGACCAGGCCTCCTCAGCTTGGCACTGGACCCTGAATACAGGGGGAGACAGATTTTTATGCTTTAAAAGAAAACAATTAACAGGATATAGACCGGGATAAAAGATTAAGTAATCTGATTTCTAATTAAGGAAAGATTAGGGGCTTTCCAAGTGGAGAAGGAGGGGTGGTGGTAGTAGTGGTGAAAAGGTGCACTTCCCAAAATCAGGAAAAGAGGTGTCCCAGTCCCCTTCAAGTGGGAACAAGAAAACAGTAACTGATTGACCACTATGGAGCCAGTTTTCAAATAAGACATATGGGCTGCTTGAAATGTATGATTGTGAGAAAACTCTTTGCCTCAATCTTTGGATCTAGCTAGATTTCTGGTCATCATAACCTAGGTCCTTAGTAAAGGGTCTTAAGTAAAGTAGGAGGTCTTTAGTAAAGAGGAGGTACAACTTCCCAGCCATGCAGGGCTAGGTTCAAACAATGCAGTAAAGTTTTCTCACAGTTCCCATAACTGAATAAAGTTTTCTCACAAGACAAAATGGACTATACCCATAATTGGATAGAAAGGGAACTGAGCTAGATCCAGAATTGAGTCACAAGATGGAGTCAGTGTAGTTTACTTGATTCCCACAATTCCCTTAGGACAGTGATTTTATTGGCATAGGGAACTTCTGGATGAGGATATTTTCTCTACCAATTAAGTAACTGTAGTCTTATCACGTCACACACATCCCCCAATAAATTCCTGTGGTTTTTTATTACCTCTGGGGGTAAATACAAAATGCTCTGTTTGGCATTAAAACCCCTTCATAACCTAGCCCCTTCTACCTTTGCAGTCCTTTTTCACCTTACTCCCTAACACATACTCTTTGATCCAGTGACACTGGCCTTCTGGCTCTTCCACAAATAAAACACTTTATCCCTCAGGTCCAGGCATTCTCACTGGCTGTCTGCCACACCTGACACACTCTCCCTCCTCTACTATGATTACTGGCTTCCTTTAAGCTCCAACTAAAATCCCATTTCCTTCAGGAAGCCTTCCCCAATCTCCCTGAATTCCAGCGCCTTTCCTCTGCAAATTATTTCCTATTTGTCTTGTATGTGTGTTTGCATGTTGTCTCCTCCATTAGATTGTAAGCTCCTTGAAGGCAGGGGCTGTCTTTTGCCTCTTTTTGTATCTCCAGGTACATGTGCTACGTGCCTGGCATGTAGGTGGTGCTTAATAAATGTTTATGGTATTGTAACTTGCAGTAATGAGGTCAGAAGTGAAACTTTGAAGCCAAGTATTCTTGGCTCTGAGACAGGCTGGGAATCAAGGATAAATAAAAGGATTGTCTTGTTGTATTTATACCCCAGTTGAAGTAAAAAACTGTGACTTCCTCCAGCTCTCTTCAACATAGGTGAAAAGATAGCTAATCCTAGATTATACAAGTTTATGTATAATTTCTCCTCCCTTTTGCTCCACTTTGTATTTGGAAATGCCCATTTTGTTTGGTGATTAAGTTCAGAATAAAAAAAAATACAAATATAAACTCTTTGAGGACAGGACTTACTTCACCTTTGTATTTGTGTCTGAAGCACTTAGAAGAAAGCCTGGCACATAAGCCCTTCACTGTATGACAGTGGGCCTGTTTATGTAGCTAGGGAGAAGAAAAAAAAAAGAAAAGATACTTAACAATACAAGGCAGAATATGCTTTAGCAGCTTATAGGAGGGAGAAAATATTTTGAGTCAAACACTCCAGGAAAGTTTCATGTAAGAGGTGTGCCTTGAGCTGGAAAGACAGGGAAAATTTGAACCAGGGAAGAAGAAACTGACCAGAGGTACAGAGGTGGGAATATGCAAGGCATGGTCAGAGAAATGATAAAATCATTTTGACTTAGATTCATGATAAACAAATAAGGCTCAGAGGGTGGGTAGAGTCAGATTGTGGAGGGCCTTAAATGCCTGGCTGAGGAAATTTACTTTCATTGTGAGTTTCATAGTTTTCCTATAGGATCTGGCAGGTTAAAGTGTTTTAGGACCCGTGCCTCCACTTTTCATTGAACTATCCGTCCTCTCCCCTACCTCTGAGAGCACAGGTTCTCTTTAGGGTTTCTCTCTTTTCCCATTTCCCTCCCATGGCTTTGTTCCTTGTTCTCTTTCCTTCCATGGAGTAAGTGTGGGAAGCTGGGGGTGTTCAGTGGAGGTTCTGTGTAATTCTCCCCTCTTCCCATCTTTCCTCTCTTAGGTATTTGTGGGATGGTGACTATCTCCTGGTATGCCTCTAATATCACCCGACAATTCTTTGACCCCTTGTATGCTGGGACCAAGTGAGTATGGGAACTTTTTCTAGCATTCTGTTTGCCCTCAGGTTCCATCCCCAGCCACAAAGTTTCACAGCCCTGTTCCATTCTGCAACTCTCAGGTCCTGCCCTACCCTGCCCACCTCAGTCTGAACCCATCCCACACATCTGTAAGGACCCCTGCCCCTTTCAGTTCTCCTCTTCAGCTCTGGCCCCAGGGCTCCATCCACTCACCATTCCAACCCTGTGCTGCCCCCAGGTACGAGCTGGGCCCTGCCCTGTACCTAGGCTGGAGTGCCTCCCTGCTCTGCATCATCGGGGGTGTATTACTCTGTGGCCACTGCTGCTGCTCATCAAAGAGACGTTCAACAAGGTGAGCCTGGGGAGGGGGCAAGAAAGGGAGGGGGCACAGGTAGGGCAGCTGTAGAGGAGGGGAAGGGACCTCATCGCCTGACTCTTGTTCCCATCCTGCTTGCAGTGTACCCTACAAGGCGTCCCAGACTGTAGTGCCCTCCATGGATCCGGCTTGCTTGCCCCCAGGGGCTTCAGACAACACTGAAGTAAGCTTCGACAAATACGGGAAAAACGCCTATGTGTAAAGGGACTTAGGCGGTAGCTTTTGCTCTCTTCTGTCCAACCAGCTTGGAGGGAACAGGAGCATGGGCTCCCCAAAGTCAGACCTCCACCCACCCCCAGCTCTTTGGCTTCACCTCAATTCTGAGCAGACTCCAAGCACTCCACCCTTACTCTGGCCCTGCCACTGAGCTTTGCCTGGAATTTCATGTCCCAACCCCTCCAGAGAGGTCTGGTTGGACAGCTTTCTTGCCATTGCCACTTCCCTTGGCCAGATGTTGAGAGGCCCTATGGAATACGGGGTAGGGGTCGGGGTAGGGAACCACCAAGTATGTGTATTTTGTATAAATAAAAGTTTAAACTACAACCATAGCGGTGAAACAGAGGGATTCTTGGTTGCTGGGGCGGGAGTGGGAGGTGGGGGTGGGGCGGGGAGAAGGATGGGGCAAATATATGTAGGTAAATTGTGCAAGCATAAGGCTCAAATGGGGGGGGGACACAGAGAGGGAGAGAGACAACGTATCTATAATCAGAAGATGAGTTCACATTCCAACTTTGGCAAGTAACTTCTCTGAAGCTCATCTGTGAAATGAGAGTGCTTGAACTTCACATTGTGAGGATTAAATGAAACACTGATGTAAAAATCTTTACTGTAAAGTGCTAAATAAATGTCAGATATTATTGCTGGTCAGAGGGTATTAAAGGTATTTCTGAAAAGGTGAACTCCTGCACCCCCCCCCCAAATTAATACTGAACTCAATTAACTGGTTTAGAAAATTAGTGGACATCTTTTTGTTGTTTTGGGGGGGAAGGGGAGGATTACATATGTGCAAGTTTGAAATACCTACTCTTTCGGGGAATTTACCAAATTGTTATTAGCCTGTAGTAGATAGAGTGCTGGTCTTGAAGTCAGGAATACCTGGGTTCGAATCCCACCTCTGACACTTAGACTGCTATGTAACATGGCAAGTCTGAACCACTTGGGAACTTCAGTTTCCTTATCCAGAAAATGGGAATAATTACTGTAGTAACACACACTCAGGATCATTGTGAATAAGAGAGATACTAGGTAAGATAATAGACTTTACAAACTTTAAAGCAGTATCTAAATGCTAGTAGCAGAAATTCTTGATAATACTGATACTGAACACTCCTCTTGTGAAGCTGTTTGATAGCTATCTCAAAGAGAGGTAGTTATCGAGACTAAGAATGCTATCAGTTCAGCAGCCTCCAAAAGCTTCTTTTTAACGACTGGGCAAACTATCTAAAGTCAATGAACTTAGGATCTTCGCTTCGTCCGTACGTGTGTGCCACACTGGTGTACTGGGCACTACACAGTAAGTTCCTATGGCTTACCTAAATTTTACGCTTTCACTGTGCAGCTGGCACCAGTTGAGGGCACTTTCAAACCCCAGATTGCTTTCAAGTCTGGAAACATCCATCTCAGGATTGCTGTTCAGTTATCTATGCTCAGGAGAGAAACACAGAGCAAAAGAGAAAGCTGCACCTTTGTGGCAGTCTCAGGTTATGTGCTGACTGTCAAGTTCCTGAAGTTCAGTGGTTTTTTTTTGGTGAGGGAAAAGGAACCCATGGCTCCTCAGCTTCTCCTGGGACATCCACGGAGAAAGAACTACTTGGCCACATGTTCCAGGGAGAGGAAGAGGAGGGGAAGGAGAGGAAGTAGATCGAGGAGATGTTTCCTCTTTGGAAGTACTGAATAGGTAGTTCTTCCTGGATCAGTAGAGGAGAATCCTGATGCAAACATCCCCTTGCTGCCATCACAGGACCAAGAGCCCTTTAACAGAATTGCTCCATCATCCCAAAGAACCCAAGTAATTCAGTACTGAGTCACACTTGGTCAGCCGGAAGCAGCCAGAGCACTTCAGAGCAAGACCAGCGGAGCGGCACCCTTTCATGTCCATCTCCTTACACTCTCCATGGGGGTATATGTGCCAACCCACCAACATAAATAAAAAGAAAGATAAATTAGCAATTTACATAACAAACAGAATCACTACTGGGTTCAAGGAGCTGGATTTTGTGTTCTCTCTCTCTCTCTCTCTCAACTAACTGGTTCATCTATTTTGGACACATACTTGTGGTCCCAACCAGTTCAGTCCTAGGGAGTTTGACTGCCTAAAAGAAAGGTTTACTTCTTTTTTTCATACTCTTTGCTTCATTATATCCACAGGGGAAATTATTTAAAAGTTAGGTTTGGGTCATGTCTCGAGTCTCCCCAAATTGAGGAATAGAAATATATTTGATCTACATTATGGATCAGGTTTAGACAGGTACTGATTTCCTCCACACAAAAGAAATGTTAAGCACAAAAGGCATTGACAGAAATTTAAACAATAAGTAATAACTATTACTATACCAAAGGCAGCTAGGTGGCACAGTAGAAAGAATGCTGGGCCTGAAGCCTGGAAGACTCATTTTCCTGAGTTCAAATGTGACCTCAGACACTTATTTAGCTGTGTGACCCTGGGCAAGTCACTTAACCTTGTTGCCTCAGTTTCCTCATCTGTAAAATGAGCTGGAGAAGGAAATGATAAACCATTCCAGTATCTTTGCCAAGAAGACCCCAAATGGGATCACCAAGGGTCAGACATGGCTGAAATGACTGAACAACAACATTACTGTACTGGAAGGTTGAGACTTAAACATTGGAACATGAAGTAGTTTGTGGGACTGCTGAATAGCACTGTTACATTTCACTTTCATCTTGCACTGTCCAAACAACTCCCTCCAGGTCCATGTTATCTGGCAAGTCAGGCTAGGGTTTGAGCTCCTTCCCCTGTTGGTGGCAACTGTCAGGTACAGAAACTCTGAAGCAGCTAGATGTTATAGTGAATATGGTGTTAGCCCTCTGGAGTCAGGAAAACGGCCTCGAATTTGTCAGCAGACACTTACTAGCTGTGTGACTTTGGGCAAGTCACTTAGCCTCTGTCTGCTTCAGTTTCCTCATCTATAAAATGGGGACAGTAACAACACCTATCTCCCAGGGAGATCAAATGTAAGGAACAAATGAGATATTGTTTGTAAAGTGCTTTGCAAATCTTAAAGTAGTATATAAGTTCTAGCTGCGAAGCCATTATTTTACATTTTTCCTCCCACCAGTTAATTCCAGTTGAGGACCCAGGATCTCCAAAACCTCTTGAACTCACAAGATGGCTTACAAGACAAAATGTTTCCAAATTAGGGTTGCTGTTTGGCTACCTGCATTCAGGAAAGGAGACACAAAGCATAAAACGCAACCAGAAGCCCCAAGATCTAGGCTTAGGTCACCTAGCCAAGCACCTCTTCTAGCTGCTATTTGAGAGTGGTTGCCATGCAATGGAGGTAGGGTAGGGGGGTAGCCCCTTCTACCCTTCATAGAAGCACTTCTTCCCACACTGAGAGTCAGAGGAAAAAGAGATATACGGGCAGTATTATTCTCAGGCTCTTCCTGAATTAGCAGCCAGTAATGGGGTTTGCTGTGTCATCCCTAAAGTGCCTGAGATTTTCAGTGCTGAGTCACCCATGGCCAGCTGGATACATCAAGGAGTTTCATCATCCCCAAAGCACCCACGCACTGAGCTAACATATGTGGTCTGCTCAAGTAGTCAGGGCAGCTTTGTGCATGCCTTATTACATAAATAAGTTCAAGCAACTTGGGATCGGGCAGGTAAATGGAAAGCGGGGGCAGGGTGGGCGAGGGAAGAGAACCTGTGAAAATAGACTAACATTAAAGTAGTATAATAAAAGCTAATAGAAGAGACATCCTATCTTGGCGAAGCTGAAACTGCATGCCATCTCCAAGGAGATTAGGATGCCTGCTGGTTCAGGCAGAAATTTCCCAGCATCTTCTTCTTTGACCTCATCCCCCAGTTTTGCCCTGACATCAAGGCTGAAGGGACTTGTGGGAGCAAGAGAGGATAGATTAAAGTAGAGGTAGGACTTAGGAGTCCTATCTAGTCACAGAGACTGTGGTGTGAGGCTTGGGATAGCCCCCAAACTAGTACTGTGGAGGTGACCTGGGGTGCCTATTACTGAGATAGTCAAGAGATTTTCTCTGGTGGTTTCTAAGAGAGATGCCCTCATGCCCTCATTTACCTGCCCTAATTTACTTTTTATCTTCACCTATCCTCACAGAATTGGAGGGAGGAGGCTGTGGCTGACCATCTCCTTGGTGCTGTCTTCAGATGGTTAAAGATAGTGTTGTACTAGCAGCAAAGTATCATAAGAAAAACTAATGGAAATGGAAAAAAGAAAAATCAATACAATTTCATTGACTTACAGGAAAACTTGCCTAATCTAAATGGCAGGAACTTTAGGAGATGTTGCTCATACCACAAATAGTTATACCATACTGTTTAACTGGGCAGGGGAGGGGATTAGAGCATGGGTTATGGAAGGGGTATAGAGAATGAGGAATGTGAGAGCCCCACAGGAGGAAGCCACTGGGAGGTTGGGGATATCACAAAGAGAGCAAGGAGTTAGGAAAGAAAGATGGAGGACTATTACAGCAGTGGCAACCGAAAGGATAAATATGAGGGACCCAAGGGGGTGAGAAATGGAATTATAATGGGGGACCTACTGCTTAGTCCAGTCCTTATGAGCATGTACAGAGTACCTGAATAGCCTGAGAAGTCTATGGCCCCACTCTCCTAGGCTTATCTCCTTATCTCTTTGGTACAATTGAGGTTTAAACTATACTCTCCTGCAAATTTTCTGATGTGGCACAGTTATAATTCCTTGTTCCTCATTCTAAGTAGGCTTTCCTGGTCAATTTTTAGAACATCCCCACCCCTTCTGTTACTGGTCCATGTTCCTTGACCCTCTTATCTCACTATGTGACAACTATGATGGCAGGTCCTTTGTTGAAAACTCTATATAAATCCCAATCCTTAGCAGCTTTGTACCTTTAACTAGAGGGCATATCCCACTGCTTATCTGGGTTATCACCCAGAATGCTACTCCATGGGACAGTAGGGGCAAAGGCAGACACATGCAAGTCTGTCTCTTACTGAAATAATGTTTGTTCATCTGTCCATACCCTCTAGACCACATTTGGCTGTGAATACAAATAAGCCATTCTAATTGATCCTAATGTAACTGTACAAATTCACTTGAATTCTACTTTAGATTTGCATGACAGTAGCAATAATGCAATTCTCCTGGGGAGCCTGATTCTGGGAAAATTATGATGACTTGTAATGGAAGTGCCTTGCGGAGATTGGAAACCTGTTTCATAACTGGCTCTGGTCCCTAACCATATGCTGACTAGAAAGCTCTTTAATTGGCTGTGGCAGTGTAAACTAAAGCAGAGTGCATTCAATACTAGCTGGCCTTCTCTCTGTACTTTTTGGTTGACTTCTTCCAGTC